CGCGTTCATCGAGCCAGCTTTGTCGCACTCGTTCAATTTGCGCGGAGCAATTCGCAGTACGGAAAACGAGGACGCGTTTATGAGAGCCGTTACGTCTCGGCCGTTATCCATTCTTTGCAATAATAGACCTATTTGCGTTTGTTTAGATTGGGATGACGGAGGAAACTACGTGCTTCTGTTCGCAAATGTACAGGACTCGTGTTTCAATAAAACAGAGGCTGATTCCTTTACCGGTCGGAATTGTCGCGAAACGATACACGAATAGTTCCTTTATTCCGAGTAGCTAGCAGAGAGTTGGAGACTATTCTTGCCTAGATGACCGAGTATAGAATATAGAATGCTCGATACCGAATACTAAGTGCCACCGTTGGCCAAATACCGATCGCCCCCTGATGATTCTAACCGAAAGCTATACGCCCGGTGCTTAATGCGCCGCAGGAATGCCACTCCCGAAGTACCGCGAAATTCTTCGGCAGAAAATCGAAGATAAAGCAACACGGACGTTCGACACGATTAGACGTATTCTCCGCAACTTCGAGCAGCATACGTGCGAGGAATTCAAACACTGCAGTCCCGGGGATGCGTGCCAGGCCCAGAGACAGCGTGGCTCCGCGACTGCGTACATCTAAACGAAGCTACACACGAGAGACTCGCTCGAAGGCGGCGTAAAATATTTGCGGTTAGCCGAGCGTTTCCCCGTTTCTGCGGCAGCAAAATGCAGCAACTCCCGTCCGACTAGTTACCATATACCATGCCCATCCCCGGGTATTATGCACGGCCGCGGAAAATAACTGCGAGATGAAAACCGCCGAGTTGCTCCCAAGTCCACCGCGAACGATTTCGAGACTAATTCGCCGATCAACGCTAGAACGCGGAAACCCTCGTGTCCGGCGAGCATCCTAAGCGTAGGATCATGAGGGTTGTTCATGAGTATTCGAGAGAAGTCTCGAACTTGACTCGGGAAACAATAAAAGAAATAAGAGTTTGAAACGAGAGACAAAAGAAACGGTTCGAAGAATAGAAGCGATACGGTAAGCGAAAACACGTGCGGCTGTCAAAGTAAACAATCAGCGAGTATGCCTAAACAGTCGCCTAACCTGAGCTGTTCGATCCACTCGAGGGGGAGTAGGAGACGCAAGGAGAGACATAACCGATCGGTTCAAAACACGGTCGCGTTGCTAACGTCTTGCTCAGTTCGTCCGCGATCAACCGTCGCTCCGGTCATTCTCCCAAACAAGTGCGAACGTTTAAGTACGCTGTGTTGAGTGACTATTTGACTCTCAGACCACGAGCCTGATACGGTGCCTCCGAAGTATCATTATAGCCCGAAATTAATCATCGTTTGCAATTAATTGTTATCGTTGTTATCGTTATCGTAGTTACTTCGTGTTTCTATGTGGGCAGTTTCACGCGGCGTAGGTAGGTATGCGGGCCACCGCATCGCGCTCGAGGAATCCGAATGGTGTGGTGCGTGTGTTCCTCCATTTCACGCGTCGCCGGCCACGGGTCGTCGCGACGAAAAAATTTAATTACAATTCGAGGGTCCAAGGCCAAAGGCTACATCGCCGCGTCGCGAAACCGAGCCCCGTCTCTCCTTTCAGCCGCTCTTCATTCCTCGGATAATCGAGCGGGCCGACGCGTCTCTCGTTGCCTCTTTGAGCGCGGTAAATCCGATTAATTTGGATCATTAGCTTGCTTATCACCTGATGGATTTTATTAAGCCCCTCGCGGGAAGAATCTCCGAGAAGCTGCGCGCATTGGGTCTCAAAGAAAGGAAGCCAATTTCAGGACATCGAGGCGTTCGTCTGGGCGAGTTCGAGTTAATGTTTCGCGCAACTTTTCAAGGGGTTCGTTCGTCGGGTGCTCCTTGGAAAAATCGAGTTACACAGGCTCGCGAGTTATCGATCGTCCGGGCTACGCCTGTCCTCCACGTGGCACGAGTATTTACACCGCCTAAAACCCGCGCCGACCATATTTCCTGGTTAGGCGTAGGCCTAAACGCGGAGCGGGCGTCGCTTGGGAAAACACCGGGCTTCCCGGACCACTCAGCCCGGGCCACGATTGTTTTTCTTGCCGCGTGCTGTTTGCGCAGCCTAATCGAAAAATCATAAGCACCCCTACCGCTGCTAACTATTACCCAAAGGGTTCGCGCCTGTGGAAACAGATAATCGATCTTCCGGACTCGAGTGCCTCGCAAGAAAAACGAATCGCTACAGATGTTTGTTTGGGCAATCCTGATTGATAGGGACGTGTGTGGTATTCAGGTGACTCCGATCAACCTGTAGCAAGATCAGGTCGAGCGATTAGTTTTTTAGTTACGAGAATGAGGTCAGGTGGCGCAATGATACGTCCTATCCGATGCGACCGTACCACCACCACGTTTCCCATAAATCCAGCGTTCGAGTAGGTCACCTCGAAGTTGCGACGTCGAGAAACGAAAACCACTCGTGTCAGCCGGCAGCTGGGATCGTTCTGAAACGAAAGTTCGAGTGCCACGTACATCGTGAAACTTCCATCGCGGCAAACGTCGTTAAAAAGTGAGATCGAGGTTTCCGCGACGCGGCCAGGCCGGAGTTATCGCAACAGCTTCTGAAAGCTCGGCGGCTTCGTTAAAACTAGCCACTTGCGGGGACGCGTCGCGCACAGGAGGATCAGCACGCGCTTGAGCGCGTAGCAACCCCTGGAGATTCGCTGGAAACTCTGATGGCCCGTGTCACTACCAATCGATGTACCTACACTCGTGTATAACACGAGATTGTTTAGCTGTCCGCAAACCGCAGATTTAGATGGGGTTACGAAGAGGGAAATCTGGCCGCTCGAGTCCCTAATTATCTTGACATCGGGTCGCTACGGCCAAACAGGTAGGACAGTGACTCTCAACGGACCAGGACACTTGCGATAGGATTACTCTGGAAGTAGAACCTCTCGAGGTTGGAAATCTTGTTTACGCTCGATAGTCGTTGCGAAGACTGGCGATACGCCATAGAACAACTTCGTACCCGCGCGTAGACGCGGTTTCGAGCGACGTACTCACAGGTTCACTTGAAAGCGCGGTAGGCAGCTATTTTTATCTCGACCCGGAACATCGTCGCGTTAACATAAAATTTAAGCCGAGAGGGTGGCGTGATCCCATCGCTGAAAGCGATGTAAAAATTGTCACTCGAAAGCGGTAATCGTTAACTTTTTTATCCTCGATTGCGATGGAAGCGACGTGCAACGAGGTTAATGCCTCGATCTTCGCCGAAGCCGGCGAGATATCGCGACACGTGGAAAAAAGAAACATCTCGAACGGGAATTACGTATTCCGCGTGTCGAGTTTTTTCGCGTTCCTTTCGCGACTATGCTTTCGTGCCAGCGCGTCGGCAATAATGTATTTCGAGGATTTAATTATTCGCGGTATCCCTTCGCCTGCCGACGGCATATTAATCGTATGCTAATCGATCGTCATTAATGGGCCTCCGTTACAGCGGGTTTACCGCGGTGCAACCTCGATCGCCGTAAAGGAAAACAAGAAAAGGAATCCCCCTTGCCTCCTCCGGCCTGTTGGTTTGATAAATTATTTTACCCGTTCGCGATCTTTTATCGGGGAAGCGACGCGTCGCGAGTGAAATTGTCGCGCATCGATATTCGCCTCTTAATTTATGACCGTCGAATGTCGCCAGTAATTACTCTGTCCTGTCGTGGGAGTAAGAGAGATCTCGGCGAGAGAAGGAAATATTCAGAAATAGGGTTTCGAGGAATGCGTGTACGGCGGAGAGGCCAAGCTGTGTGAGTGTATACGCTTCGGCTTGCGCAAGGGTGAGAGTCCTTAAGCTTGGCCAGTGCGTGTCGAGAAGAGTGCAGTCTGCTTCGGTGCGGTTTTAGAGTGGAGTCTGTTTCGTTTAACTGAACAGCGTGTACATACCGGAGTCTTGAGAGAATTTAGCGAGCACAGAGACCGAGTGTTAGAAAGCAGCGGTAGTTCATGTATGCAGTTTAACTTCTGTTACAAGTAGCACAAGAGGCCGATCCTACGTTCAAAAACGAATGAAAAATGTGGTATGAAATTTTTTTGTAAAACCCTTCATTTCCGAGGAAATTGAGTTTGCAAACGAGCGTGCTCCGGCCGCGTACCCCAAACAACTTGGAATACGTTTTCTTCGTGAACAGACCTCGCACGAAAAAATTCCATTTCACATTTTCCATTCGGTTTTACACGTAGATTAATAAAACCCGAAGCTCATGACCTGTCCAGGATCTCCTAATGCGAGAGCTACTAAAAACATCTCTGTAAGGAGCTCTTAAACAAGACCGGCGCGCGGTCCGACATCCGCGTTCAGTAATTTTACAACACTGTGGGGTGAAGTGTTTTCGTGTCGCAAATTGTGGACATTCGCGCGGGGTAATAGTGTCCAACGCGATATCATCGATAAAACGCGGAACGACGGCGCCCTTCGAGGATACGATATCCTTGACGTTTTATTCCCGCGACCGTTGTAACGCGTTTTATTGCAATCGTTGCGTTTTTATTGGCGGCCCCTTCAACCCCCGTCACCCGAGGAAATGCAAAACTATTAAACCGACGTTCCTCCGGCCGTCCCACCGCGAGGAAATATGTGAGCGAGTGCTTAACGACCGCCGTTCAATTCTCTTTCCACGCATCGACATCCGACTGAAAGCAATTTCATTTAAATTACGCTTCTTGCCGGTGGTTCGATCCGTTCGAAAGAGCGACCGCCGTGTAAGGGCCACGCGAGTTTATCGAGCTGCGTACCTTGGATCCAATTGTGTTTCATCTGCCTTGCAAAAAAAAAAAAAAACCCCGTTGCGGGAAATGAGACGCGTAATAACGTGGCCTTCGTACGACTCGATCCTGAGATCAGTAAACGCGTACCCATCGATCTTTTTTTGGTCCATTAAGCGAGAGAATCCTGTCTAATTCCAGTGTTCGAATCCTAACGAAGTCTTAAGTCCGGAGGTAAGGTTGTAGGTTAATATTACGATAAGTAGGTTTAACTTACAGTTTTTCGGCGAGGAGCAAGGTGGCCAGGTTCTCAGGTATCTGCGTCAGTCCCCGGTGAGAGCACTCGACCTCCTGACCGTTGCACGTACACAACCAAGGGCATCTAACACTGTTCATGTCCTCCATCGTCCCCGACAAACTCCCGAGACCGAAACTCCCGAGGGCGGTACCGTGAGAGGCGCCACCGCCCAGCACGGACAGGATCAACAGAAGTCCCCAGGCGCAGACCACGGAACCGCAGCTGACGCTTAGCAGACGCAGCGACCATGCAGGCGCCATGGCACGTGCCATCGCCAAGATCTTCCTATTAATGTCCTTCACAGCGCGATTGGGACCCTCGAGGATTTTGGCGATGCTGTCTACGCGACTCTTCGGCTGGATGTTGGGCTCGTAGAGGCTGAAGCAGGCCGCCTCGGTCGTCGCTATTCGACCGACGTTGATGGTTGGATAGAGGCAATTGGGCGCTGGCTCGAGAAACGAGGATATCTCGAGTCCCTCCGCGGGTGGGCAACCGAGGATCCTCACTGGCTCGAGGATGGGGTCCTGTTCCAAGCGTATGACCGAGCACTCGAGCTCATTGGCCGTCAAATCCCTCGAACTCTGGATCTGTCTTTCCGTGGCTTTTCCTCGTGATCTGTCCCGCCTTCGACCATGAACACGGCACGATCGATTGGAATCCCTTCGCGTGCTGTCCGAGCGATGCCTCGGGATGGCGGCTGCGGGCGTCCTTTGCCTGTGCGTCGGGCAGTGTCCCCTTTTGTCGATCGTCTCGCCGCTATCCGCCAACGTCTTCCTAGGCCGCTTCGAACGGACCTCGGCGCTGTCGACGGCGAACTGCAGATCCAACGCGACGCTGGATGTCTCCTGACGATGCCACTGGTGGACCAACGCTGGCGTCCCGTTAGACGCTACGCTGCACTCGATCCTCGACGCTTTGCAGCCCTTCGATTCGTCCACTTTGAGGACCCGTCCAGCATCCGCCTCCGCGAGACCTGGACCGCAGGTCGTGGCGAGGTCCTCCCTCGACGACTGGTCGATGCCCTCCGAGCCGATCTTAGAAACGGGTACCGACGACGCCCGCTCGTCAGCTAGACCATCCAGCTGGCCCTTTCGGGGGCCGTGTGTGTGGCCCCCCACTTGTTTCAGAGGCCCTTCCGAGGAGATGTTGTACACCACTAACGGCACCGCCCGTTCCTGCTCATCCTGGGCGACCGCCCTATCTGACTTTATCTTGACGCTGGTCTGTGCCCTAGTATCTACCGTACCCGACCGGGTACGTGTTTCTCGCCGTGGAACGGACGTCCACGAACGATACAGCGACAGTCATTTACCGGATTCAGAGTGTGCTGCTCCTTTGCCAGATGTTCGAGCACCTGATGTGGTTTTATTTAAATGTCGCGTCCTCTTTGGGAGCGTGAGGCTGGTTCCGTCAGGACAATGGTCTCTTTGCCTAGATGGCTTCTGTGCGATGAGGTGACGACTGTCGGCGCGTTACACGGACATTATAGATGGCGATGCGTCCGTCGTGCTGCCTGTGGGTTGGGCCGGAAACTTGACGCGGCAGTGATGCATCACCTGAAACGAAAATTGTTCGCGTTAGGGTACAGGATCTTCGGCGTTCCTATATTGTCTATAATTTCTCAGATATATTATTCGTAAAATGTCCGCAACGACGTGGTACGCGTTCCTCTGCGGAATTTAGACGCGCGTGCGGGGGCGGAAGTTGTTCGAGGCAAGGTATTACAAGCCTCGCCGCAATAAAGCCGCAATTCAGTGAGCTGGATGGGTGTCTTCCGCGGGCGCATGATATACGTTCCACCGTTCGGCGGAAGTTGGATGCGTTCTAGATAGAGCGCGCCACGGTCGCACCCCCCGCCACGAGACACGACAGCCACGACACACAACGGTAGGACAATTTTTTTTCCGCCGTCATGCCCACATGCGACACCGAAAAATACATCTTCCGGCTATAAGCAGATGGGCTGGGACGTCTCGGATGAAAAGGGACGGCGGAAGAAGCAGAAGAAGAGGAAGAAGCCGTGGAACCGAATGGCGCAGCCAGTTACAAAGAGAGGAACTCGCCGTTGCAATATCGGAAGTACGAGAAAAATATGCTTTCGAAGCACAATCAAGGACTTGAACGCATTCCATGCACAGCCGTTCGAGTCGCGAGGCATATTGGAATTTTTCCCCCGACATTTTCCATCCGTCCCTCCCCCATTTTCTTTCTTTGCGCGTATACATACGCGTCCGCACACGCTCTCGCCACCCCGCCCCGCCCCCCCTCCGTATCCGTCGCCCTGTTTTCCTTCTTTTCTACTTGTCCGCCCGGTGAACGTGCCTCGAACGAACGTACGTGATGTCTCATATACATGTTGCTCGCTCGTAAGTGCCCCCGAATACGTTTCCGCGATTTATAATTTCGCTACGTGCAAACACTCGGGAATAGAATCGTCCGCCATTGTCCACTGCCCGAAATAATATGCGCCACCGAAAGTCCCAAACCCCATCTTCGACAGCTTTCTTTCAAGTTTCGCTCTCGACGATCAGAGTACAGTCCACTGAAAGTATGATTCCCCCAATCACGAGCTAACCGAAAGGCGAAGCGTCCTCAAAGAGCGACGGAATATGAAAGAAGCCCGCGTAGTCGCGACAGCGGCTCCGCGCGTCGCGCATTGAAATTCGTCGAAAATCTAATATTCCCTTGGAGAGCCGGTACAGGGATCGATAATTCGATTAGCAGTAGTCGACACCGAGGACAGTTAGGCGGGACGCTTTCTCTGTAGACACTCTCGCTACGCTCGAGTACGGTTAAAGTAGCCGCCACCCCCCGATAGGAAGGGGGTGGATGTGAGGTGGTGAAGGAGGACGAAGGGGGGTTGAACACCACGCACGTATAATATTGTCGAGCACTCTCCTGCAGATATTATCGGGGGACTCCGGAGCCTCTGATGTCGAAGTTAAGACGCAGGGGGGGGGGGGGCGAAGCCCCCGTTCCAATGCGACGCGAGAGGCCAGATCGACGGGAGGACCTCTCGTCTATCGGTCTCTGTCTTCCCCCCCAACTGTGTTCCACCGGTGCTCGGAATTAATTAATAACGTTAGCGTGCATTAATTGAGGCAAAGTAGCGTCGGACGGTGTTCGAAACTTTTTCTTTTGCCTGGCCGCTCCAACCCTTTCCCGATACGTCACGCGTAAAGCGTGAACAAGACGATAGGCAGAAGAGAGAGAGAGAGAGGGGGGGGGGGCTAGGCCAGAAAATCGATTCTCTCACTCTTCAGGCCTCCGCTGGCCAAGTGTAACGCGCCTGTGCGTGCACTTGATGTAATTAGGGAAATTATACGTTAGAATAAATTGCGTTCGAGGACCCTGGGAGGGAGCGTATATATTCGCGAGCTAAAAATTGAAGGCGGAAAGAAAGGGGGTGGGCATTGGATAGAGGCTAGGTCTCGTCTTTCGTCCACTCGCGTGTCAGCGGAATAATTGGTAGGGCAAATATTTGACTTCTCCGGTCCATTGATTGACACTTCAACGTTCGACCCTTCCTTCCGCCTCCCTTCCCCCCCCCCCCTAGACTATAATCACGTGATTCCGTGCACGATTCGACGAGTCTGTTTCCCTTTCTTTTTAACAGACTGGCTGGCGGTGTTTGGAAAGTGTATTAATGCTTTTAAAATTCCTAGAGCAAACAATAGTGCGCCGATGCACCTCCTGCTCTCTCTCTCTCTCTCTCTCCCCCCCCTCCCTCCCCCCGGTCTTCTTTCACAGTGAAAAAGGGCAGAAGGGACAATATTGACAGAGATCCCGGGATCCAGCGACCCCCTGCAACGCTGCGATTCGAATCCTCCGTCCACCTTCAAGGCGGTGCAAAACGAGAAGCGAGACATATGCTGCAGCTTTTAATGAAATTGACTGGGCAATTTCACACGTGACGCGATGGCTGAGCTCCGTCCACTAGTGTTCCTCGAATACACGGGGAAACAAGTCGCTGTTCTCCCGTGATTGCGTTCGACTTGCACAGCCCCTCGAGGAGGTAACGCGAGGTATGGGAATTTGTGCGCGACCTATTTTTAGCGAAAAATTACGAAGTAAACAACGAGTTCGTACTCCCTCGAAATACATCCGCCATAAGAGACCCGCGTATCGACTAAATGATATTTGCCGTGGATGCTACAAAGTGTACTCGACGTGGAGGAGTGTATGACGCACGGAGAAGTAGCGACGAATCTCTTTGAGCTGGCGACAGGGGGAAAAACCGGGAAAAACCAGACGGTTCAGGGTTAGCCAATACGATCCCGTTCCTGGAATATTGCGTCCTTATTGTAATATATTTGTAAGCCACTTCGACAGACAATTTCATCCGCAGACGTATGTAGGCAGGTGGATACACGGGAAGATTCCTAGAAGGTATATCATTATATTGCATCGGAAGAAGGAAGGGGGATCGATTATTTGTGGAAAGCTCCGCGAAACAAAGGGAAAAGAACGCGAGTTTGTAGGAACGGAAGTTCCACTATTCTGCATTTTGTTGCGCTGCTGCTTCATTCCCTTTGTTCCGCGGTTGATAACTATGAAACGTTTCGTTTCGTGCTTTTAGTTTATTAAATGTCTCGCGATCAGTGGTTCTCAAACCTCCGGCGACGTGTACTTCTCTCTGCCTTGGAGGAGACCAGTGATTCTAAACTTGGGTCAAAATTGCCTCGATGAACAATTGAATGCAAGGCTAGTTTAAGAGAACCTGAGTGACATGCAAACACGTACAAAAATATACATGCAAGTGCATCTTTAGTCGCAGAAAAGTTTGCGCGAACACAGAGAGGACGGGATCGTCCCATAAATCTCGAAAAGAGGTTCCGGAAATGTCCATCGGGGCTCGTCGCGGCTCGTCAATAATATTCACGTCCCGCCGCTCCGACGGACATATATCGAACGTTCATTATGTGTCCATCGAGTGCTCGGGATAACAGTTTCGTCGTCTCCATCGACTTTCGATCACGGGCTCGTCGTGGTTTCAGCCTGCTCGCCGTGCGACATCGATTTTCGATCGGTTCTCGGCTCGTCCTCCTTTCGCCCGCGGGACGAGCATGTCCCATCTTAAAACGGGGACCTTAAAAATCCATTTCGCACGGGCCATTAGGCACACATGTTAACCAAACATCTCCGCCTCCTAAGCAAACTGTGGCCCCGCCAGGGTTTTCCACGAAAAATCATCGGTTCCGTGTGTCTCGTTCACTCGGAAGCCGAAAACGGAGAAAAGCCGTGTTACAGGAAAAGTTTGGTCGAAAGTGGTGGTAGTTTGCGGGCAGGGGTGGGGAGTGTAGGAGATGGGAAACCGCGCGTGCCTGCCCCGGTGTTATGTTTTCCGCCGTTACGGGCTCGTGTTTCGGATAGGGGGATGTTCGCGGTGGCGCGCTACCCCTTTTCCATTATCCCCTTTAAATTAAATGTTGAATCTTCGCGTGTATCGCGCCGAACGCGTAAAAATCCGCGTAGCGTGGACCGGCGTCGTTATAAAATTCGCGTTCTATTTTATAGTAACCGCATCGCGCGCGCGCGCGCGGAACCAGAGCAAAATAGAAACGCTGCGCGAATCGTTGTTCGCTGCATGTTTACGAGATCGTTGGTCCGTTTGCTAATAACGATAGAATCTAGTCACGAACTTCTCAGACGGTCCGAATACCTTGAAAATCGTAGTCGTAACTACTTGGAAAGTCTCGAACGCGGAAGAATCGAGATGTATAGAAAATACCATTCGCGGGGTTTCCGTCGACAGCGGACGGTAACAATAAAACTCGTCTCGATACTTCAGCAATTCACCCCCGCGCAAAGGCGGACATGTATTCACGGGCAACGGTTCACCCTACCGAAAGAAAAAGGCGGGAAAAGGGCGGGTGGCCAAGTTCGATCGACGGATTAAACGAAATAAGCGGCGTCCCCATGAATCGTATCGAAACCGGCGCACAAATGAAACAGCCCTAACTCGCGGTCCCGCTCAAAGCAACACCGACCGAGAATATACCTTTTTATGGGTTTTACAGATCTCTCGACATGAAAGTAAGAGGGGAGAGTCCCCCTCCGATATTAGGTTTCCCAGTGCGGTTTTCAACCACCCACTCGATCGGTTGATCGGTCGACTTTACCCCGGGGAAATCACACTAGATACGAATTGGACCTCCAACCCCTCCGCGGTTCCCTCTCTTTTTCACCTTTCGACGTTCTTAAGAGGAAGTCCAAGGCCGAGAGAGAGAGCGGAACACGCCCGAGACCCTCGACGACACGGAGACGGCGCTGTGTATTAATCGGGAAAGGATCTTCTTTCGTT